CCGGACTGCCTCTACGACTTCCAGATCGTTGATGAACAACACCTGGAACAATGTTGGGGACAGCGTGCAACCCTGTGGGAACCTCTGCTCAATGTCGAAGAATTTTGACAGTTCTCCGTCTAGCATGACCGCGCTTTTCGTACACTCTGTCATCTTCTTCAGCACTCTCCACATTTTCCCCTTGATCCCGTATTTGGACAGACAGTTGTTTCCACAACCCATTTCTCCATACGGTGTCGTATACCTTTTTCACGTCCAGGAAGAAGCAGTACGTCGGGTTGCCCGCCCTCTTTCTACCTTGCTTGGATGGATGATGATTCTCCCTACTACCGTGAGTACGTGGTCTACGCACCCCCTCTTCTTTCGGAAACCTGCCTGGCCCTCACTAATGCTATGTTCCTTCTCCAATACTCCCACTATCCCATCGTTCAGCAGCTTACAGAACACTTTTCCTACTGTGTTCAACAGTGTGATCCCCCGGTAGTTTCCTGGGTCAGTCTTGTCTCCTTTCTTGAACACATTCACAACCACTCCTTCCCTCCATCTACTTGGTTGGCGTCTAGTCTACTCGTTTTTCCACACCCAATTGGACAGCAGTGGTACCATCAGCTGGAACATTTCCTTCCCCCAAAACCTCTGTTTGCGGCCTACCCACTTATTTGTCGGGTGAGACTGTTTTGGTGATGCATCGACTTCACGACAGGTAGACGACCGTCCTTCACACGGACGAAAGAGGGGGCTCAAAGAGCGGCTCCCACAGCAAGGAGGGGCCCCGTGAATCAACGGGGTGCCCCCTACCAAACGGCAATCTTACCAGTCTGCGTGACACCAAATCATCCAGCACATGTGTCTTACACCAATGTTCACAGACCCACGAACACCTCCCTGGTTCTTCACACAAGTGACTAACCATAAGTAAGTGGGGTAAGAACGCCCCTGGATACATCAGAAAATACCAACATGGTAATATATGGAGGGGAAACCCGGCGTCCGGGCAAAACCCCTCGAAAAAAAAGACACCACCACAAAAGAACCCGTCGCTATCACAGCGGACCACAACGGCCGCACTTTTTAGAAAGACCAAGGCGAAGACAAGAACCCGAGGAACTACGTTCCCCCGGACGATGGTCTCCCAACGCCCCCTCCTCCTGCCATTGGTACACAGACCGCAACAGTTATGCGCCTTTCCCCGCATGGAAAACATGACCTCTCCCAAGTGCTAGAAACTGCTACAGCTGCTCCGGCAAACTCATCAACTTGCGCCGGTGGTACTGCAGACTAGCCCTGCTAAGGGCCTTGGTTAGGAGGTCCGCGTGTTGCTCCGTTGTGGGAACGAACTTGACCGAAATATCCCCCGACCTAAACAATCCACGGATGAAATGAAACCTCACGTCGATGTGTTTCGTGCGACCTGAGCTGTGGGGGTTTTGCACAAACGCTATGGCCCTCTGGTTGTCCTCAAGGACCTGGATGATGCTACCTCTGGTCTCTGGGGCAACAAACGAAAGCACAGCACGCAAAAACAACGCCTCCTTGACGCCCCCCCCGGCAGCAATGTATTCGGCTTCCGTCGAAGACGAACACACGATGCTCTGTGTCTTGCTACCATGGCTGACGACGGTACCTCCNACTGCAGACTGACCCTGCTAAGGGCCTTGGTAAGGAGGTCCGCGTGTTGCTCCGTTGTCGGAACAAACTTGACCGAAATATCCCCCGACCTAAACAATCCACGGATGAAATGAAATCTGACGTCGATGTGTTTCGTGCGACCTGAGCTGTGGGGGTTTTGCACAAACGCTATGGCCCTCTGGTTGTCCTCAAGGACCTGGATGATGCTACCTCTGGTCTCTGGGGCAACAAACGAAAGCACAGCACGCAAAAACAACGCCTCCTTGACGCCCCCCCCGGCAGCAATGTA